GGACAGAAAAACAGTGGCAGACGTAGAGGAAAAAGATGACACTACGAATTTATAAAAAAAAAAAAAAAAAAAAAAAATTGGTAGTGAAAATGTTAAGCTCGACCAAAATTGGGACAATTAGGCTGCCAGGAAGGAGGAGGAGAGCAACAGATAGAAGGAATAAACAAACAATATGAGAAGGAGGATAAGCAAAATGCAGACTAGGGAAAGTCTGAGTCATTCAGACAGCTTCCGCTGATGTAAATTCCTATCTGCAATCATGTCCAATTGTTAAAGTTAGCCTTGGGTGTTGTGGCTCTGTGTACGTGTACCCTTGTGGGTGTTATAGCTGTGTAGGTGTACCTTTGTGGGTGTTGTGGCTGTACGTGTACCCTTGTGGGTATTGTGGCTGTGTACCTGTGAGGGTGTTGTGAACACAGTTCGAACCTTGGTGGGCATTTTGAGGTCTGGCAAACATTAGAACGTAGTTTAGAAACCTAAATCAGGAATCTATAAAAGCAGTCTACTCAATCTATGTTAGACCAATTCTGTAATATGTAGCTCCGGCCTGGAATCCGCACCTTGTACAGCAAAAAACTCAATCTGAATTTAGTTATAAGAATTTTTAAAGTTATAAAATTTTACAAGTTATAAGAATTTAGTTAAGAGGACTGGACCTCACATCACTGGAGAAGATGGACAATAAGGATATGACCGCAAGGTATTGAGGGGAATAGACAAAGTGGACAAGGACAGCTTCTTTCAAATGAAAGTAGGGCAAGATAACAGGTTGAAGCTGGAAAGGCAAATGAGCCTGAACAACAACTTTCCTACAATTGAAAGAAGTTGTAGAAGCCACCTCCGTCCACAACTTTAAGACCGGATTCGACAAGGAACTCGAAGGTCAGAACACTTCAACTCTAACACAAAGGCCACAACGAGGCTAGTATATTCGGGGCACAAAGAGCTAGAGCTCAACTCCCCCGAAGACACTGATCGATAAGCACCAAGAGGCCAGTGGTACCACCACCGCCTGCTCCTTGGACCACATCTCTGTAATATGCATCAAGAGCCCTGACTAATTTTTGTCCGTCCTCGTATCAAGGGAATGAAGGTGACGTCAGCTGTGTCTTTGAGTGGATCTGGGAACGCTGCAAAACATGCAAGTGTCCTCTTTGAGCGAACGTGGCGCCGATCCTTCACTAAATGAGATAATTGTGACATTGAACAAAAGGAATTATGGAAGCGACTCGAATTTAAAAAAAAAATGATCATGGACTTGTGATATCAAAGGCATAGTTCCTTTTCACTCTGATAATTCTTCCTCATTGAGAGACCTTTGAATGCTGCCAATTTTATCGCCAGACGTCCTTTGCTTTTGATGAATTGTGAATGTTAGTTACCATTTTTCTGTGTAACTTGGAACGTGTATAAGCGACAACACGGTGCAGCCTTCTGAGGCGGCCTCGAGCTCTAAGAGATATTGAGGGACACTTGCGGTTATTTCTGTCTCTTATGGAGTCCACTTTTGAATCCAGGTCGAGATGATTCTCACCTCAAGCTACCAGCTGACTACCCCCGTACCCCTATCCCCTTCCCGCCCCAGAAATGAACTCGTGTGAATTCAGTTGACAAAGCCACACACTAGAAAATGAAGGGACGACGACATTTCGGTCCGTCCTGGACCATTCTCAAGTCGATTGTGTATGAATTCATTTTGTTAACTCGTATGAGGCCGTGGGGAGGGAGAGGAGCAACAATTGTGCACTCGTGAGGTGAAAAGAACCAACTTTACCACTCTTCGATCCTACACAAAAAGCCTGCCACCGTGTACCATCGTACTCGGGACCACTGAGCCCCCCACTCATTGATATATAGTGTTGTGGCGGGTCTACTGGACAGGATAACTCTTCAACAGAAAAAAGCAGGGAGCCCCCAACAATTACGAACAATTTTGCAATTACGAACTACTGTCACACACAGATGGATTACTAGCAGGCACTTCCAGTTCAACTGATGTCACCTGAGCAGTGTTTTTGGAGGGATTTCGAGCCTCAGATCACCCCGTGAATTATCTATTGTAGAATGTTGAGAGGGACGCAAATATCCACAAATATCTAATCAATGTATGATTAGTATATATTGGTTCTATTTTGAATTGTCTCTTCATCTCAATTTTGTGATATATATATATTTTTTTTTAACATGTCTTACCGCTCAAATGTTAAAACTCGCTTTGTCTATACAATATATCACCTTTCAAATTGCTATGTAAAAGACACTCACTTTATGAATAAAATGTAAGCTTGATTTAGACAGCTGTTTAGTCCAGCCAGTGTTGTAATGCTTTTGTACAAGTCTGTTACAAATATACTTTCCGAGTTTAAATAATGCCAATATCTATGTATTATACTGTTACTGGTAACTCTTATGTAATTAATGTACTGTACTGGAGGCCTGGGGCGATGACCGGGCCGCGGGGACGCTAAGCCCTGAAAACAACCAACACAAGGTACTTTTACATAACCCTTCTCACTTATAAATGTACAACCATTTATAAATAAAAGTGTCTAATTTGATATGGGTAAAATACTTCGTAAAATGTTGTACTCACAGAAGCTCACGTCGTCAGTGGAAGCCAGGATCATTCGGGAGACGGGTGGAGACAGGAGCTAGGACCGTCGTTGCCACCCGTCCCGACGTCTACCCAGATCCTGTGATGGTGGACGGGGGAACAGAAGTCAACTTGCCCGTCCCATTTCCGTCCCTTGTTGGTTATCACAGCGATAAATTCCTTGGCGCTGTAGACAGCCCTTGCAGGTTATCGTTACTTATCTATATTAACACTTTACTTATATTCCTTGTTATCTTGTACGCAAACATTTTACCGACAGTCAACGGTAATAACGCAACACTTTATTGACAGTTAACGGTAATAACGCAACACTTTACCAACAGCCAACGGTAATAGCCTAACAGGTTACCTCCCAACAGAACATCCCGGACACAACTCACAGCCGTGTCCCAATAAGCCCGATATTCCACGGCCTCCTCTTAATAGGCTGCATTTGTAACGTTGATTACGATAACGTAAGAAACGCGAGGAATTACCTGAGAGAACGAATTGACTCGTTATAGTCCTCCTAACTAGGCTGACAGTCATTACGTCTCACTTGAACAGGTGAACAAGGACTATCACTGTTGTTTACACGAATAAGGGTGTTCGTCACAGGTGGTAGAGGTTCCTTGTGTTCCTTGTATTGAAGTAACTGCTGCTGCTACCTGTTGGACAGTTCCTTTAGAGAGTGAGGCGAGCTAGTCATTCCCTCTACAAGTTCCTGTCTTGCCTGCCAAGTCGTTCCACGGTCGCAGGAACAAACACATCTACACTGGTTCAAGGTGGAACTTGAACAATTCAGTAATAACTTTGGCGATTATTAAACTGATCTGGAGATGCCGGGCGAGTTGCGTCGTCGCAAACAATTTCTCACAATCCTTCACGATGGCTTTTATGTCTTATGTAATGAATTTTGAACACCTCGCATACAAATATCCAAGCTCGTTAATCCGGACACCAAACCCACTGTTTATGATTTGAATCAGTTTACACAGAATCAGTCCTCGACTCAAGTTCATTACATTCAGCGGTCGACCCCACAGATGCATTCATAATTTTTAACATGCTGTTCATTCAAAACGGGAATTTTCTCAAATATTAATTAATAATATAATATATTAGCATATTGTGCATATATAGGCATAGGTTAGGTTAGGTGTTTAGGTTCTGTTGGCGATTCTTTGTATTTGTAGTACGTGGGTGAATCATTTAAAGCGTTGTGGTTCGAAAAAAATTCGTCAGTGAAGCACTTGTTCCGGAAGTATACGAACGAAATCAGTTGTGAGTCGTATGTAAACAGTTTTTCATTCATAAACAACGGGTTTGGCGGGAGTATGGAATCACTTTTAGGTCTTTGTTTGGAGGACGGGCTGCTTTGAAGTGCGTTGGTGAAACAGTTATGGAATCGTGGTTCGAACAGAGGACATGAGCGAGAAACTTGTTCCGGAAGTATTCGAACGAAATTAGTTGTGAGTCGTGTGTAACAGCCAGTCCTCCAAACAAAGACCCATAAATGAATCGATGCACCCGCCAAACCCGCTGTTTATGAATGAAAAACGGTTTACACACGACTCACAACTGATTTCGTTCGAACACTTCCGGAAAAAGTTTCTCGCACACGTCCTCAGTTCGAACCACAATTCTATAACTGTTTCACCAACGCACTTCAAAGACAAATAATCGCCAACAGAACCTAAACATCTAACCTATTCCTAACTACACATGGATTAAATATATTAATTTATATATGACAAGAAATTACTTTTATATTGCAATTCGTTAAAATTAAGAAATCCATCTATGGGGGATCGCCCACAGTTTGGGCGAGGATAGGCCGAGTGACGTCACCTCGCTAGCAGTATTCGCGACTCTAATTGGTCGACTCAAATTCAAATAAATTTACTGAGGTATAAATAAACACAAAGGGATGAGATAGCTCAAGCTATTCTCACCCTGTTTGGGTCGACTCGTGCTCAATAAACTTCCATTCGCCGAAGCCAGAGACCATGATTCAAGGGATCACCACGTGGGCAATATGTCGACCTCTGCCTAGATACAAGCACAAAAAATACCTAACACGCCACTCACGTAATTTTAACAAAGTTCTAAACATCTAAATCATCCAAAATGTCCATCATCTAACCATCTAAAATGTCGCTGGGAGCAGCAAGTGTGTGACAATGGTGCTGTGATGTTCACAAGACCAATTACAAGCGAACATGAGGCTGGAACTTTGTTCTTGAGACTTAGGGAAAGAGCATCATAGCATCTCACACTCTCCTCCTCTCCAAGGCTACCAGCTGACTCCTGTCCGAGGCTACCAGCTGTGTCTCCTGCCCTCCCTTCGCTCTCAGCTGACTCCTCTTGTCAGTCAGTCGTCTGACAGCCTTCCTCTGGTTCACAGATCGCCGCGGCGGGCGGGAGCCTCCAAGCAGAGTGCAGACTGACGCTGGGACCTCACCAACTCAGCGCCTTCAAGACTCTCCGGGTCAGAGTCCGCATGATATCCTACGTCGACAACTACCAGTCCTCAGGTGGGTCTACCAGTCCTCAGGTGAGTCTACCAGTCCTCCTCAGGTGGGTCTACCAGTCCTAAGGTGGGTCTACCAGTCCTCAGTTGGGTCTACCATACCTCAGGTGGGTCTAGCAGTCCTCAGCTGGGTTTACCACAATTCAGGTAGATCTACTATTCATCAGGTGGGGTCTACCAGTCCTCAGATAAGTCTACCAGTCCTCCTGTGAGTCAACCAAGCCTGAGGTGGGTCTACCAGTCCTCAGGTGAGTCTACCAGTCCTCAGGTGGGTCTACCAGTCCTCAGGTGAGTCTACCAGTCCTCAGGTGGGTCCACCTGAGGACCCAGGAGTACCTATTAGTATTATTAATAGTAAGTGAACACAAAGCAATTCCCAAGATATTGAATATCAGAGTACGTAATATAAGATGGATGGATACCAACTACTACTACTAATATAAAATCAAATTAAGAAAGTAATTTAATCGCAGTAGATCACCACCGAGCAGCCTGGAGAGCTCACCGCAGTGACTGACATCCATGGGGTAGACAGTGAGATGCTGTGAATCACTTGCTGACAGACTTATCAATCGTAGAGTCAAACATGTCCAGATCATTAGTCGAGAAGACGTCCAAGTACAGCTTCAAGCAGGTGTACTATCAAACTTCTCAGTAGAGAAATTTATGTGTGTGATAGAGGCTGAGCTCTACTCACCTTGGTAGACTAACCTCCACCTAATCAGGCTCGGATCAGTGGTTGTCTCCACAAACTAGAAGTATACATACATACTTCAAACTAGGAGTATACATACATACTTCAAACTAGGAGTATACATACATACTTCAAACTAGGAGTATACATACATACTTCAAACTAGTAACAAATGTAACCACACATCAAAACAAGACACAACAAATGTGGTAGTTGTTCACAAGTCCATTACACACAAATATGCACTTCAGATACTCAAATGTTCAAGCTGTGATAGCAACCATGAGTTAAAATCCTACACAAATGTCCTTCCTATATAGCAGTAAATCTACAAACAGGACTTACTCTTACAAGCAATACAGTAGTGTATTGAAACGACCCTCCACAACCTTTCATCAGCCACCACCAATCACTCAATAACAAACTCCTCACTTACCAATTGTTCCCAGTCAGAGAGTCTGGCCCTAGCTTCGGTAAGGGGCGGACGTGTTGCATCGGCGCTCCAGCAGTTTGGTGTTGTTTGCCCGTTTCGGCCAGTTGGGGGCGGGTGTGTCTCTGCTCGCCTGTGCTGACGTGGCGTTACGATGGGGGTCCCTCTACCCCCAGTCGTCCGGGCTCAGTCTGTGGGACTAGAGTTCTCTGTGCGGGCTGGTTACCCGGAGATTGCCCTGGCTTGTGAAATGCTCTCTGTCCCTGTGTTTGCGATTTATGGGGTCGAGTTGGTAACGGCCCGTAGGGCAATTGTGAAGTTTGCAGAGGAGGTGGCGTATCGCGATTTTCTCCGGCGATACGAGGGGCGGACTCTGCCCCTGCCGGATGGTGCGGGCACTGTCACCCTCTCGGATAGAAGTGGTGCACTTACTTACATCAGTGTGCATGGGGCTCCCTTGGAGTTTCCAGAGGCTCTGCTACGGCGGTATTTCGGGCGGTTTGGCGCAGTTGTTAGTGTGAGAGTGAACGTGGTGTCTTCTAGTCCTCTTAAGGGTGTGAGGTCTAACATTCGCACCCTGGGCATGAGACTCCGGGCGGATATTCCGTCCTCTGTGCGCCTTATGGGGTACAACGTTCGGGTGTTTTACGCCCGTCAGCCGCGGACGTGTTATCGTTGTGGTCTTTTGGGCCATCAGGCTGCTGACTGTTCTGCGCCTCCTGTTGCACCAGTGAATCTCTTCAGTGAGGAGGATTTTCCGCCCCTTCCTGTGGGGGTTGATTCGGTGGGTATGGACGTCTCTTCGGCTGAGGAGGTGCCCTCTGTAGCAGCTGTTGCTCCGCCTGTTGCGCCCCCTGTTGTTGCCGCATCTCTTCCAGAGGTTGGGTCCTCGCCTAGTGCTCCGGCTGGTGTCCCTGAGCCTCTTCCCACTGCCGTTTGCTCGGACCTCTCGTCTTCCAGTTCTTCCTCTGCTGTGTCTGTCCCGGTCCCTGCGCCCTCGCCGTCTGTTCCGGCTGTGCTGGGAGCTGAGGTGGTTCCGGCATTCCCTCCTGTGCCTGGCCTGGTGCCCCGTGTGGTTGAGGAGGCTGCCGTGCTGCGGCGTGCGTCGGTTCGCTCGGTTGGTGCTGCGCGGGTCGCTGAGTCTGCCTCCGGGTCTGATGATGTGCGGCCCGAGCCTAAGCGTTCCCGGCGTTCTTCTGCGTGGGCTGATGTTGGCGAATTCGACGAGTGTCGTCCTTCCGTTGACGGTGGCGTGGCTCCGGATGTGGTGCACACTACGGTGGTGGCGGAGGTACACTTGCCTGAGGATGCCGGTGCCGGCGTTTCGGCCTCAACCTCTGGTCCGGTGTCCGAGGGTCCTGCTTCAGGTGCGTTGCCTGCGTCGGATGGCTCCGGTTCTTCGTGGGCGGTGGTTTCCCCTGCTGTAGTTGGTGGTGAGCAGGGTGGCCTGGTAGTGATGTTGAGAAAGGATGCTCGCTCTGGATGTTCTGTGGCTCCTTCCTCGTTACCCGTTTCCTCGGCAGCGGTCTTGCCGCCTCTTCCGTTTCCTGCAGTCCCTTCCGTGTCTCCTGCGGTATCCGTGGCAGTGCTATCGTCTCAGCGTCCGACACCTGCTCCGATGACGAAGGCGTGGCAGGCTCGGCGACCCTCGTCCGCTTCTCCGGTGTCATCTGCTTCCTCGAAGGGCGTGGTTGGCGCTCCCCAGCCTCGTTCTGCGACTTGCGTCAGTGACCTTAGGCATTGGCCGATGCCGCCAGATATAGATGTTCCTGAGTTTATGATACCCGCTCGAGCGCGGGGGGTCGAAAACCCTACCGACCTTGAAGATCTAGTCTGGGAAGCTTACAAGGCGAAATATCCTCATGATCTTTTCCCGGAGAAGTACATTTCTCACGAGGTTCCTCGCAAGTGATTTCTATGTATTTTGTGTTGCCTGGTTGTGGGGTGTGTATGTGAGTGGGTGGGGTGGGTATTGTTTCCCGGTTCCTGCGTGCTCCGGTTTGTATTGTGGGTTTTCTTGTATGGCTAGTGGGGGGTGTGCAGTTCCTGTGCGTTTGTGTGTTCGGTTGTGGATGTCGTGTGCGCTTGCTTGTCATATTGTGTGCCCTTCAGGCTGTTGGCGTGTGCTCTTTGTTATGTGTGCATTATGTGTTTGAGGTGTTAGCAGACTTGTTTTGTCTGTTTCTCGCCTCTATGCTTCCCTTATGTTTGTATTACGCTGTGTTTATATTTGTGTTATGTTTGTATATGCATTTTTTGTTTTGTGGTCAGCCCTTCTGGCTGGTCTTCTTCTTGATTTGTTCCTTTGTCATTGTTCATGTGTGTGCTTTGTTCTTTTGTTCTATGTTATATTTGTTCTGTTTTTATTGTACATTATACGCATGCTTGCATGTAATAAAAAAAAAAAAAAAAAAAAAAAAAAAATTGTTCCCATTCACTAACCACCGTACACCACTCAGGCAATATTTCACTCCCACAGAACTCTCAACTAAATGCAGATCTTATCTCCTCACTCATACCTGGTATTGCAAAATGCAACAGAACAAAACTGGACCGACTCCTTAATAAATTTTAAAAACAATAAGCGCAGCCCTTCCCTGAGAGGGACTCAACACAAACCTCACTCACATCTACAGGTAATAGATCCAAACACACACACAACTATGGACTCACCATAGCCCGTGCTACTTGGAACATTTTGTTCCAAGTAGCGAATTTTTAACAGCAACAACAACACACACAGCTACCAGTGGAATAGATATGAAAATGGAGCCGATACTAGACCAAGTAATAGATAAATATGCAGTAAAATCAACCCAATCCATCCCCCCCCCCCACGTTAACACGTCCATAACACAGCCACTGTGAATAAACGCAGAAAACTCACAGCTGCCGTGTTAAACCAGCTTGTCCTGGCCAGCATCCCCAACGTCAAGAAACTGTCAACCTGAAGTATTTTATCCTAATCTACCAGAGGACCCATAAACAGAAAACGGGACATCATGTCAATATCGCCTGCCGCTACTATTTTCTACTACGAAAGGTTTTGATCTTAAGTAAAGAATACTTTCAGTAATTGATGAGTACCGACCCGGTACTCATCAGACTGAAAAAGTACATAAACCACACTCACCCTTAATACGATCCCAGATATCCAAAACGCTGTGCCAAATGAACGACAATAAACACAGAAACAATCACAAACCCAACATATTAGATGATTTCCTTGACCTTCATGACCTGGAACACTAAAAGCATCAAACCATCACTCATCAAAATCAGACCCAGTTCTCATAACCACATCGTGGCTAAATCCCCAATATTCTACAGGTTTGTTGTAATTGATGTAATTCATCTCGTATCGTGTGTGTGTTAGTGTGTGCATGACAGTCAAGGTGGGGGGGGATCCTGTCATGTGAATGTCAAGGGCGCAGTGACAACAACAACAGTGGCTGCAAGAACAGCGACAGCGACAGTGTCTGTAACAACAACAACAGGAGCTGCAACAACAGAGAGTCTGTAACAACAACAACAGGAGCTGCAA